TCGCCTCTAGAGTAGAGGCTCACACAGATTGAGGTGTGACTTTTGCTCCCAGCTGTAAAACAGGGGACAAATACATATTCATATGAGGTGCTTATAATCTTGCCTGGCACAAATGAACTCTGTGTAAATGAAGGCTCTCATCACAATATACTAATGACTTGTGATATTATGAGTGTCATTGCTACATCTATAGCATCTAGTTGCTAGCATAGGCAGGGCCTAAGTATGATATACAGATGACATTACAGAAAGCTGTGATGAGCCACACCTTGCTGGATTTTTAGGAGGCAGTGGGCAATCAGCAGATGGGGCATGCTTCTGTCTCCATCTTATTCAGCCCAATGTTTCCTTCTCCCTGCAGCCTCCAGATGGGGTAAGGAGGTAATAAAGGAGGTGAGGTTCCTCCTCTTGGGTGCTGTTCCTCCCTTGTCATTTCCACTATTTTACAAAGTTGGGATTGATTGAAAGGACTTCATTGATGAGCTAATTGCTCTTCCAGGCTGTGATTTTTCCTTCTGGTTCATTAGGATCACAGGTGCACAGTAATTAGACTACAGGGAAAAGGAATCAGCCATTCCACATATTCCACAGAGCTTTTTAATACCGTGTAAAACTGGCTTATTAAGACAACAGTTACCATCTGTGAACTTCCATGCCCGTCTTAGGGTTTCTATTGCTGTGAAGAGACACCATGACCATGGCAACTCTTATAAGGAAAACATTTAACTGGGGTGGCTCACTGGCAATTTCAGAGGTTCAATCCATTATCATCATGGTAGGGATCGTGGCAGCATGCAGGCAGATATGGTGCTGGCTACATCTTGATCAGAAGGCAACAGGAAATGGACTGTGTGCCATACTGAGGGAAGCTTGAGCAAAAGAGATCTCAAAGCCTACTCCCACAGTGATACACTTCCTCCAACAAGGCCATGCCTACTTCAACAAGGTCATGCTTCCTAATAGTGTCACTCCCTTTGAGGGTTATTTTCTTTTAAACCACCACAATTCCATGTGTAAACAAATGTTAGAAATTGTCAAAAGAGCCATGGGGGTCTGTGGTAGTTTGATGTAATTGGCCCCCACAAACTCATAGAAAGTGGCACTATTAGGAAGTGTGGCCTTGTTGGAGTAGGTGTGGCCTTGTTGGAGGAAGTATGTCACTGTGTGGGTGGGCTTTGAGGTCTCTTTTGCTCCAGCTTCACTCAGTATGACAGTCAGTCCATTTCCTGTTGCCTTCGGATCAAGAAGTAGTCAGCACCATATCTGCCTACATACCACCATGTTCCCTGTATGATAATGGACTGAACTTGTGAAACTGTTAAATGTCTTTTCCTTTATAAGAGTTGTCATCGTCAGGTGTCACTTCACAGCAATAAACACCCTAAGACAGGGTTTAAGGTCAAGGCTGCTGATGCATGAAGAACTGTTCTCCCCTGCAGATGGAAAGGCCCTTGTGTTGGCTGTGTGGTTCACAGCTCTAGCTAGACCTCAAAATCACAGAGAAGCTCTCACACGATATGGAAATGTTGCTTTCAAATCAAATGTTCTCAAGCTTAAGCCAGTGCGGATGGAAAATTAACACTGTCTCCCACTTTTTTTGGAGGCACAGCTAGCCTTGAAAACCACCAAGTGAAATTATAATTATCAATTATTAGTGCTTTTCCCCCTTATGTGTATCAAGCTGAAACTTCACTATCTGAAATGATTGTTCCAATTTTCATTTTTGCTACTAATTCATATTAAAAATAAAAAAATCAAAATGGGGTCTCACTATGTATGTTTTTAAGTTTTATTTTTTATTTTATGTGTATGAGTGCTTTGCCTGCATGTATGTATGTGCACTGCATACATGCCTAGTTGCCTGCAGAGTCTAGGAAAGGGCACTGGATCCTTTGGAGCTAGAGATACAGGAGGTTGTGATCGTCTATGTGGGTTCTGGGAACTGAACATAGGTCCTCTGCAAGAGCAAGTACTCTTAACTGCTGAGCCATCTCTCCAGCCCCTGGCTTGTTCTGGCATATTATTAAGCTCTCCCACTTGAAGACATTTCTATGCTGTAGTGGATCAAAAGATGTGGTCTTTTTCTAAGGGAAAATGATTTGTTTATAAGATAGGAGGAAGTGGTCTCCATTAGTCATGCAGGTCCATGTACTTTTATGAATGGAGTTGATTATTTATGAATATTTTATGGATAATATAGATTCAAACATATTAACAGAAACAATGGTTTCTTCCCTTAGTGCATAATACAACATCTTTTCCTTTTCATCTGAGCAAGAAGATGAAGCCAGAAGTCTAGTTAGTTTCTATTATCATGAGATGAAGCTTGAAATACAAACAGAAGTAGGATGTCTTCTGCTACTCTTTCCACTTAGTTCATGTTAGGCACTCACACCTTCGCAATGCAGGCCACTCCAGGCAGCACATGCCTCCTGGATCTGCTGAACGCCATCCTGTGCCCTTGCTGCCCTTTTCCAGTTCCTTTCCCTCATATTCAACGGCGTCCTGGCCTTTGATCTTGTGCAGTAGACTTCACTTTCAACCTCCCAGGTTTGAAAGCCTCTGCTTTCTTTTTCAGAGTCACCTTGCCAGCTCTGTTTAGCTTATCTCAAGTAGCTACTCATCGCTTCGGAAGAAACATGTACATCTCTTAGGTGGATGGTTCTGGCATCTTCAGACTTGATGGTGCTCAAAATATTTAGATATTTACAAATCTAAGTTAGGTCCTGGTTGTTAAATGCTCACGGTGTCTCTCCTAAAAGACCTCTGACAGTGATGTGGTGTAGAATCTTCTGGGGTTGTACAGCTTTACACATTAGCAGCAGCTTCCTTTGGGAGTCAAATCCCACCAAATCTTTGAGGGTTGCTCTGTTTGCCGTGAAAATCTGTTGTAACAGGATTTTTTTTAACCCCTGCCCTGAAAAGTCCTGTGGGAAAGCACCCTACCCTTTTGTAGAAACTCATGGTAGAAATGTCCCAGCTGATTGCATGATTCTTGGCTCTTATTAAACTGCTTGCTTGCTTTCCCCTGCAACTGCAGACCAGGTTGTAGTCTTTCTGTGTTCTTTGTCTTTACAAACTCCTTGTAAAATGCACTTGGGGCTGCACTGTGAGAAGCATTTCTCTCCAGGAAGTCGCTAGCAGACTTAATACAGACTCTTAATTTGAACTTTTCGTGAGGGTGGTGCCTGGGTTTTTACCCCTTAACACTAACGACCTACAGACCTGACAAGGTCACATGCTTAATAAACTTTAAAATAAACAGGATGTAAAATGCCGAGATGAACACGCAAACACTGTCTTTGTTGAAAACAGACAAATGTAAGCAGCAAAGGAAAGGGAAAGCTTAGAGGGAGAAAGATAGGACCCAGATGATCATAAAACTATACCCTCCTGATTGCTCAGCCAGTGATGAAAGGGAAGAGGAGACCTGTATCGCGGTTACAGAAGTTCTTCTCTGTGCTCAGCGTGCCCACTATTCTGGACTGATGCCTGTCTTTACCAAGTGGTATGACCCAAAGTGCCATACCCTCACTCCTCGGCCGAGTCTACAGTGCTCTTATTATGAAGTGAGGGTCCCTGTTTCTCACACTCAAGTGTTCAAGCATATGAACCCTGTAGGGAACAATTTATATCCAAACTCCAATAGGGAGCTAACTCCTCTTTTTTATTTTGATACGGCTAATGAAGTACATGCCTAATATTCCTAGGGCAGCGGAGCTGCTGATACTGAACCTCAGACGAAACCTTGCCCATCATGGAAAAGAGAATGTCATCCTGTAGCTTGTTCTACAGAGAAACGAGTCCTCATTTTGGAAGTTTGTACCCAAGAAAAGCAGGACTAAACACCCAACTTCCTAGCTCAGTAGTCAGCATCGTCCTCCCTCCTCGGTGGAAAAGGCTCGACGTGTTTTGATCATCACCTTTTCACATGGAAGACAAGTATAAGGAGGTAGCTCGGTGGTAGAGTGCTTGCCTAGCACACCGCAAAGGATGTTGGGTTTGAGATGCCCCGTGGACACATGCTGAAACAACTGACAGGAAAGGGGATCAGGCTGAAACTAGAGAAATGGGTACCAGCAGTGCCTTGGTAGAAACTACATTAGATGATGAATAGGCTAACCCGGGGAGAGAGCATAGAAGGGAGTCTGTGAACGTATTCTTGTAAGCAGCTATTGAAACAGAATGGATGAAAGGAAGAAAGAGTCGAGCAAATAAATGCACTGAGGACAACTGAAAGGTTGAGAACAGTTGGTACAGGAAGTAACAAGGAGGGCTGGCTCAGTTGTAGAGCCTTAGTATCCAAGATACTGTGAGTTCGACCCCCGCCTAGGGACAGGGTGGGGTGTAACAAATGGTAACAACCTGGAGGTGTGAAGGGCACAGGAATTTGATGGGGTCGGTTAAAGATCTAGAGTGTGAAAAGCAAGGGTATGGAGACAGGTGATCAACACCAGGGACCGAATCCTTGACTCAGTGTTGCTACACAGGGAGGCTACCCAAGAGATTCCCGCAGCTCTCTTCCGACCCTCGAAAGCCAACCCTTCACTAGAGGGCGCGAGGGACGGAAATCATCTTTCCAAGATGCATTGGCGCTGCGGAGTTATCCCGGAGAAGGCCCGGCTCCAGCTTAGAAGCGCGCGGCCAGCCGGTTTCCCGCCGGGTCTGCGGAGAAGGCGAGCGCCTGGGCGAAGGCCCCGCCCCTTCAGCGCAGCGGGACTTCTCCCTGCGCGCTGCACTGCGGCTGCGCGGGCCGGGCGCGCGCGGAGGG